TCCACAGATTCCCAGATGGCATACTACAGGTTGAAAACCACTGATCTACAGATATCATTTGGATAATCCTCCTAAGGTTTTAATATTCAGTTAAACTTGAACACTTTCCAAATGACAGTGTAAGACCAAGAAAGTCGCGAGCACCTTCCTTATTTAAGATTCATCATGTAGCTAGACAAGTGAATAATGATATAAAGCCCATAAACAAGTGAAAATGAAAAACATTTTAAAAGTTGAAACTGTGTAGTGTCTAAATGGTTCTGAAGATACTGACTTTACAGAAATATAAAGAAGTAGAGAAGTAAAATATATATTTCAGCTTCTTCAGTTTCAAAAAAGGTTAATTTAGAAATTAGATTAAAGTTTATAATGCATACTGCTAATATTTTCTCTTATTTCTTTCTATAGGACCACAGCAATAATCAAAGTGTTACATTTAATCATTCTAGCAAGACCTCCATAAATTAATATTTTCTCTCTCTAGAACAGTTATTTGTCAAGACACTTATTTGCCAAAATCAAACATATACTCACTATGTCTCTTAAAACTAGTGAGCCAGTTAATAATGAGGGTTTTTTTTAATTAAACTATTTACCTAAAGTATAAGTTTTAGTTTCCTAGAGACCTAAAGCGTAGGGTTTTTTACCTCCTATTAAACTGTCTATCCTCTATCCCTCTTCCCAACAAAAAATAAATTAAAGAATTTATTGTCATTAAAACCAGTTATTCCTCCTTAAATGTCGCCTGGACCTGGAAATGGCAAGGTCTGAATTTCATAGTCACATTAGATGTGTGAGCGGAATTCTGCTATGAAGGATCTATAGAGCAAGAAGTTACTTGACAGAAATTAAGTGTGTGTTAAGAGTAAGCACGCTACAGTGTACCAGCAATCTGGAAAAAAGCCTAAACCTTTCAGAAGTATTTTTTCTCCTTTACAGCTTTTACCTTCTCTCTCACCACAATCTAACAGGATGCTCAAGCATGCTGCCAACTTCAAGCACATTAAGTGCTCCCTCTGTGATACATGCATACAGTATTTTCAAATATAGCATCACACATATACATGCCTGAACCTGGACCTATATCTGGAAATGTGATCCCTGTTCAAGGAGCTCTTGAATCCTGCCTTTAGCTGGAATTCAGAAAAGTACTCTTATTTAGGAAGCATGTTTAATGATATGCTTAACTTAAAGAATGTGCTTAAGCTTCATTGAAATCAATGAGCAAGATGTGTACAAGAGCCTAACTCTGAGAATATTAAAGCATGTGCTCCACCGTTTAAAAAAAATATGAAAAACCAGTTTAATAACACACTATATTTTTTATCTGCTGTCTTTTATTAATTCTATTGGCCATTTCTTCTTGCATCCTTTGTCTGTTGCAAAAGCCTTAACAGACTGCAGCAATGATGCTTATAATTTTCTTTGTACTTCAAAGTCAGCATACATTTTTAGCTTTCTTCTGTTTATTTTGCTTCAAATATTCGAGCTGGACCAGTCTTACTTTTATCAGTCTTGCACCTTTTCAATTTTTATTACATTCTGCAGCTCTACTCAGTTACAGTGGTTTCTTTGTCTTTCCTTCAATTTAGATGTAAAAAGGATAATTTAGGAAGGTGGGAGGATATGGAGTGGGAAGTGAGGATGAGGAAAGCTTTTCAAAAAGTTTTCCCCATTTTTTACCTTGTCATGCAGCCTTATATAAAAACAACCTCCTCTGGCCATGGCAGGCTGGGCTACTTTCTCCACAACATACTATGGATTCCATTCAACCAAACAATAAAGCTCTTGCTTAATTATAAGTGCATGCATAAATTTTATTATCTTCAGTAATCACATGTTAAAGATAAGCATAAACTGAAGTGCTTTGCCAAGTAAGAATGAACTTAAAATTGTTCTTGATTTACTTCATAGAATCTTGGCCTAAAGGTTGGCCATACCTGTCTTCCACATGGCTGGAAAGCATTCAAGACTTTTGGTACTGTCTGTTATCTCTCCCTGTCATCTAGTCTGCTGCCTCCACACTCATTTCTTGTTCACCGTGGAAAAGACTAAGGCTCTAAATTTGAATCTGGTCCCTGGGTGCCACTGTCACTAAATCTTAGCTCAGCACAGTTGAACTGCAGCTCTTTCAACAGCTGATCATATGTGAATATTCTCAAAAGCAATGTAAGCCTCTGCTTTGAACCCACTTAATTATTTATTTTTAAGTCATATATTTATTTTTAGAACAAAAGTGCTGGGCTATTCAAAGTGTAATGTAGAAGTCTTTGTACACTTTTAGCCTCTATTTTCTACAAGAATATAAGACAACAAGGCTACTGGCTGTAACAAGGCTATATTCACTGAATTGCTACTGAGTAGCACTTCCTTGATATAAAATCCTAAACTATAGTTCAAAAAGATAAGGTTTCAAAGCCCCAAGGAGATTTCTGTTCCCCTGAGATGTTTGAGGAAGGACAGTAAAGGGCTAGGGCTTCCAGTTGTCCATATGGAAGTG